TATGCTGGTTTTGGCTGTCCTGGATCACATCTGTGGGACTTTATTGTTCCCTGGGTTGGAATGGAAAATATCCTGTAGCTAAGGATTTGTTTGAAGTAGAGGGTTGAATTCTTTGGCTTAAGGCTATGCTTTGATAAAGATGGCATGCGTGATAACCATTTTTGACTTCCCTTCTGCATGTCAAAGGGTTCAGTGGCAGCTCAGTCCCACCTCTTAAAGTCAATCGTTAACTTTTTACTCTTTGTCCACAAAACCAATCATATATGTATAAGTATTGATAAATATTTTCAAAGAAACTATATATAGGGCTGGGGATATAGCTCAGTAGGACTGTCTAGCATGCTGGGTTCAATCACCTGGACAGAAAAAGAAACTGCATATTCTCTTCATATCTAATATTCTAATACACAGAAAGCAAGCTCTGTAGTAAAGCAAAAATAATAATTTAAATGAAAATTACATTAATCATTTAAGGAAATCATTGGTAAAGATTTGTCCAAATACAAAAACTCTATTTCAAAGGAAGTATTTACACACTAAACAATCGATTTTGGTTTGTAAACATTCTTCCTCACATAACCAAAAAAGAATATTCATTATACCTCTCTCCTGAATATTTACCCCTACTATTACAATCTTGATACTTACATACAAACATGCACAAATATTTTGTAAATTGTATCCAATAAAATACAGATATTTATTAAAAGGCCAGGTGATTTTTTTCTTTCATTATTGTAATTATTATTACATTTATTATTAATATTTCCAGTAGCAATTCAAGAATATACAGCTCCACTCACTGAAGATCAATAACAAAAATATTTTTAGAAAATAATAAAAGAAAAGAAAAAAGTCAATACATGTAATAAAGAAACCAGATGTGATTTTTCTTTATACTGTACTGGCACTTTTCCACATTAAATGTAAAGCTGGTCAATTCAGTGCAAGGAAGATACTCTAACTCCCTCAAACTCATCCTACTCCCTTGCCAACATCAACTTCCATCTCTGATTACTTTCTTTCATTAAATGGGGTTGGAGTCTAAAAACACAGGAGCACAAACTGTTAGAGATGGAGCTTTCTCTCCCAACAGGGGTGGGCTGTGCTTTGCACTTGCCTGACTTAATTTTGTTACATTTCTAACTCCAGAGAGTACTGCAACTTAGATTATAAAATCTCTCCAGAATTTCATTCATATTATCGGCTCATAAATAAACAACTGCTTATATGAATTGAAAATTTCTAAACTTTCCAGAAATTAAAAATACTAATATTTTTACTATGAGTAATTAAAATGTCTTAAAAATTCAATTTGCATAATTTAAATGATCTTTGGAGCCCAGCATAATGGCATATGCCTGTAATCACAGCACTTTGCGAACTTTAGGGAGGATGACTACAAATTGTAATGCAGCTTATACACTGTTTTAAAATGAAGTGAAATAAAATGCAGATAGAGATATAGCTCAGTGTGAAGGTTCTGGGTTTAATCTAGTAAAACAAAAGAAAAGTTTGACAAAAGAAAGTAGTTTAATTTTTTACATTAAAACAGCTATGGCATTATAGTTCTCAGTATTCAGTATAGAGTGCACACATTATTGTCTTTGAGTATATTTTCCTTAATGTTATACAGGTTTACTGAAAAAAAAGGTTGTATTACAAGTACTACTATTAGTAGTATTACATGTACAAGATATTTAGTTATAAAAAACATAAATTTGTATTTAACCGAAATTAAATTATTCAGATGATGAACTTTATTTCACCAGTAATTCTGTTTTTTGATCAACTGACATAAAAATTTTCAAAGAGCTTGGGGTAACTTCAAATTTTCTACTTTTACTAAATTAACTTAATTACTAGGTATTCATTAATTGATATTTAATCTAATATCTACATTATTTAAAAAATATGACAATACAATTTACCTACTTTTGCCTCTCATTTTTATGGCTTTAGAGAAACCTACATATTTGAATCTGTTAAATGTGTTTATTTTTGCAACACTAAAATATATACTGTAAAGAAGCATATGGCTATAAGAAGTATAAAATGTATATTCATACACTCTGCTAATCTACTGCAAAATGATGAA